GGAGAGCAGGGAGCCCTCAGCCCCATGGCACCCCCAGCCCCACGGGCAGCGCCGGCCCAGCCGCTCCTACCTGCAGCTTCCAGATGTGCTTGCTCTCCTTGGAGACTTGCCCCACGGTCTCGCCCATGAGGGCGATGAGCATGTTGAGGAGGAGCACGAAGGTGAGGATGATGTAGGTGACGAGCAGGATGATGAAGACACCGGGGTACTTGGCGCTCTCCAGCATCTCCAGGTCGCCCATGCCGATGGTGAGCTTGAAGAGGTCCAGCAGGAAGGTGCTGAAGGTCTGGCTGTCGCGGCACGACGGGTAGGTGGGCAGCGTGCAGTTGGACGGCTCCTCGCTGCAGGACTCGGTGCTGGGACACGGGTTCAGGAGAGAGACCAGGGCTGGGCGGGGAGGAGGCAGAGGGACAGCGAGTCCAGGGGGGCCGCAGCAGATGGGGTCCCGGAGAGACCCCCCGGTGCCCACGGCACCGGCCCCGCGCGCCCGGCCTGGTGCCTACCTGACGCGTAGCCAATCATGAAGAGCAAGTAGACCAGGAGGAAGCGGAACAGGTCCTTGAAGAGGATCTGGAATCAATGGAGATGGGGATGAGACGGGCTCTCCAGCTCTTGAGGCACCTCCAGCCAGGCCGGTTGTGCCAAGGTCTGCCCACAGCAGTCATGAGAAATAAGGAACAAGCCCTGCGTGGTGAGGAGAAGACCCCCAGCCACGGACACACCTTCTGGATCATGATGCTGTAGGTCCCGGTGAGCTTGAGCCCACGGGTGAAGTAGAGCGCGTTCATCCAGCCCAGGACCAGCGCGAAGACCATGACGGCCAGGTAGGCCTCCACGCCGCCCCGGTAGAGCCCCGCCGTCCAGCACCGAGTAGATGAAGCTGCAGGAGAGCGTGAAGTGAGCACCGGCACCGGCCCCTCGCCAGCCCCGGGGCCACCCGGGCTTCTCCACGCACTAGAGCAGCTGGAAGGAGCCATCTATGAAGAAGGAGTTGATGCCCGGGCACTTTTTCATGAACAGATCCTTGACCTGGCGAGGGACAAGAGTTTGGAGAGGAGCTGGGATGGGGCAAGAGGCAGGTCCCGCATTTCCAGAGCCCATCACCGGGCCTCAGGGCATCCTGTCCCTGTCTCCACCACAGCGCTCACGTTGGTGAAGAAGAAGAGGACACCGGTGAAGAGGGTGATGATCTCCCCGGCCAGGCGCAGGTAGTCCACAGTGGTGGTGTATGGATAGGGAGGCTGTGGGGACAGAGCCCGTCAGCGGCACCCAGGCTGAGCAGAAGCTTTTATTTGGGGCAGAAAGCCCCAAAAAGGTCCCTGCCAGAGGCGGTGCAGGACTCACAGTGCCTTCCATGGGCCGGTAGTAGGCGACGAGGGTGAAGATGACCATGGCGCAGAGGTAGGAGATCACGCTGATGTAGAAGGAGACGGCGCCGAACTTGCGCCACTTGTCGCGCAGCAGCTCGTTGATGGGCTCCACGGCCAGCATCTCGTGGCGGTTCTGCGGGGCCGGCGGTGGCATCAGCGGGGAGCGGGCGCCCTGCAGACCCCCGCGGCCCCATCGCGCACCTCGATCTTGCTGTTGTAGACCAGGATCTCCAGCACGGACACGTCCTCACCGCAGGTGTCCAGCGAGGAGAGGTCGTAGAGCGAGGAGTAGACAGGGCCGTACGCCCAGTCCTTGAACTTGCGCGAGAGGTGCCGGGCGTCCTCGTCCGTGATCTCCCGCCGGATGATGTGCTGGAAGATCTGCAGGACCCGGCAGCACCCTGGTTTTGTGCCCTTCACCACCACCCGGGTGGGCGCAAGAGCCTCTCACGGCCTCGCGCTCCT